TAACCCGAGATTGAGGTTTCTTGTTGTTTCTCTGTGTGACGACAAAAACCATCGCAACATTCAAGTGCAATTAATTAAATGTTTTCACAGTAAAATATTTAATCTACCATGTCACAAGATCATCTATCACTCCTTTTTTCACAAAAATGAATTAATTGCTTTATTATTTGAATGAGAACAATTGATCTAATGATAATATAAGAGAATAATATTTACGACGCTCACTAAATTCGAAACTCGAGGTCAACAATCATTAAAAAAATTCATATGAATTAACCAAAATAAAAAGAGTTGTAAGATTGATAATTACCTTCCATAAGTGAGCTGCTACGATCTCAAACGAGGAGATACCGCCAAATACATTATTCCTTCGTAGTTTGTCTATCATTGCACTGCCGAGATGGTAAGTCTTGAGCACCAAGCTACCGCCGTTCTTCTGATCATCATCATCATCGCCCTTGGCCGCCGCGGCGGCAGCTTGTTGCTGATGAATCAAGCGGTAGAGATGGTCAATGGCCGCCGCGTCTGCTGCCTTGGTTCGTTTTTCGCCGTTATAATCAACACAACCCAGAGACGTCAAGCTCCGTCTATCGTGATCGACGATACTACTGCCACTGCTCATAGGTTGCGTTGAAGACGGCGGCGAAGCAGCAGCAGCAGCAGAAGCCCAGGCGGAGAGGAAGCGGAAGGTGGATGGGCCGTCGAATAAGGAGTGGCTCGTCCCTATCCCTATTGAATACCCTCCACACCCGAATCTCGTCACCTATGTCACAATAAAATCATTTGTGTAAAAGATATTATGTTGGATTATGATAATTAACTCTAGGATTAATGGTTAGATGGATAAACAAATCGGAAAATTTGGATTATTTGTTTTAAAAAGGATGCAATAGTCTGTAACATCCCGAACCTTTACCCGACAAGATACTGTCGTGCTTTGGGCCTCTACACCCCGCACGGATTTCGACTTGGGGTGCAATTCAGGGTGACTTCACATAAGGTCACTCCACGCTGAGCACGTTTAACTTTGGAGTTCTCACAAGAACTCCTCCATTACACCCCAAAACGCGTCTTATCAGTTAAGGTCGGTTTCCTGCTTATGAACCATGGATCTCTCCCGTGATTTTTCGACATGGGATTTGCCTAAAGTGTTACATAGTCTACGTAATTATCACAAGAACAGCTAGTTGTTCATAAATTCATCAATTTTCACAAGCTCGGATCATAGATAAATGTTATATACAAGAAACCGGAAACCTCAAACCCTACTCAAATTATATATAAAATTTTCCAGATCATAGGAGCTAATTACTCTATACACTAATCACAGTTGATCATCTCAATATCTCGAGTTGTAGTTGTGTATGTTCAGCTATTGATCATGTAACGCTCAATAAAACACACTCGCTCTCAGACGGAAACCACCTGATGAGTTGCACAGATAAAAGAAGGCTAGCTATGATACCATCTCATCATCAAGAACTAATTGATCTCAAGAACTCGAATTATTTGGAGATGTTGCAATTCTAAAATCATATACCACTTACTAACAAAACCGCACCCTAATTAATTATCATAGCACACATATGTTGAATTATCAATATGGGTAGGAGGACACTCAGCCTAGCTAGCTAGCTATCTAAAGGCATATGATCAAACGTGATGACTAACGGTACCTGAGCAACAAGGAGAGGCATCTGGGACAAGCAATCGACATCGAAAACCGGCTTGTACACCAACTTCTCGAGAAACTCGTCATACTGAGAGAGATCATCTCCAAGCTCAGAGATCTTGACCTCAGTCACAGCCTCCACCAACACACCACCTTCGTTGTTGCACCAAAGGTTCAGCCTATTCCCATCCTCTGGATCCACACACAGCCTTCCTGCAGCAGGGTACCAGGCCTCCAAAGTCTCCTCCAGCCCGGATTTCAGCCCACCATAAACCGAATCCTGAAGATCGGCCCGCTGGAGATGATGATGATCTGCAGCAGCAGCAGGCTGTTTGTAGAACAGAATTAAGTACATGTGAGTTGGACACTGTCGGTCCAAATTCGAGAGGGTGATGATTTTGGGAGGGAGGAGGGATTTCTTGGGGAGCACTCTATCTGTCTTAATGATTGAAACTACTGCAGCCATTGATTGGGTTGGGAGAATATGTATGAATAAAAGAGGAGAAGAATTGGGTTTGGTCGATCGATGTAGAGAGGAAGTTGGAGTGCTATAGCTAAAGATTGATTCGAGTTATATAAAGAAATGTATGATATGTTTGAATGCTTATGATCATGTACATTATTATTTTTTAATAGTATATATGTTAGTGGTCCTTTGGGAATGGCAAAACCTAGCTAAGAGAGTCTCTTTATGTTTGTTTTTTTTAGTATACAAGGTTAATGATGTTGTTTTCGTTGATGATGATTATCATGTTGTCGGATTTGTGAGGTTAGAGAAGGGTGCTAATTAACCTACAATGATATAGTATAATAATTGAGAAAAACTATTATTTTGTTTATTTTCTATTTTTTTAGGACAAGCTCCGATGACTAAATCATGTAACTCTACATTGTCAAATTTGATTTACTCCGATGTTGTAGGTGTTTATGACCACTTAAGGTGGTGTTGGATTTGATGTCTTTGATGAAGTTTTAGCACGAAGTCGTCGTTGAATCCGGAACTAGAACCCGTGCGCTGATGAATTTAGCACTACAAAGCTATTACTACTCTACTATTGTTTATATTGCAAGGTATAAGAACTAGTTGATACACAGTTACTTATTAGGGTTGGGATGAGTCTTCTTGTATATGCATTACTATATTGAACTACTGGAGCGCACTGCCTGCTTGAACGACTAGTGAAAATGACCCACTAGCTACTTGTCTATAGTGTGTGTACTATAATACACACAAAAAAAGGACATATTATATATGCCCAATTGTCTGTATTGTATTTATAAGGATTCAGATCGGATATGGGTATCTATGGATTGGCCATATTTGTTGGGGAGTTGATGAACATCTGGTCAGGAAATTCCGGTTTCTGGTCAGCCATTCATATCATCTAGTTTGTATTCATCATAGAGAGAAACCTTCGTCTAATTAGTTGGGTAGTGATTATCTTTAGTAAATTTTTAATTTCTGAACTTTCTGTTTAATTTCAAGATTTGGGTCCTCAACACGGCCAAGAGAAAGCTCAAAATAAACCTTAAACAACAACCATATTTCGATTTAGGTACTATGTATGTACGTACGATGATGTTAGGACATATTATGTACCAAGACTACGGCTAGTACAAATGTACAATGCCCTCCGGCCAAGGGATAGCACAAACTAGTGATCATAATGAGACAAGTGCAGTACGGATAATTCAATACTCATATCATTTCTGCACTAAGTGCAAATCATGTTGCATAATATCCATGCGGAAACGGGTCGGGGAAGGTCGCTTCATTCTTATATATAATTTGAAGAAAATATTTATTTTAAATGATAAAAACAATGAAAAATAAAAATGATAGGTAGATTAATTAATTGAGTGAATTAGTTGAAAGATGAAGTCTTGCTCTTATCTAAAGTACAAATATGGTTTAAGATAAGTAAAAAATAGGATGAATATAATTAAATATCTAGACAAATCAAGACAGAACGGGGCAAAAACGAGGTGGGGTGTGACAAAAAGCAGGACGAAAGTAGTACCCATACCTAGCCCTATACTACTACTGATCGCTACTACCTGCCCCAACACGAATCATATCGGATAACACCCAACGGAACGGATTCAAATTGTCATCACTATCACCACGAAACTCCATTTTCAATGGGGTTTAAATATTTTAGAAGCTTTGTATACCATTTTTTATAACACAATATTAATGTTTTCCCTAAAGGCTAAAGATAACGTACAGTCGTACTATACGTGAATTAAACTTCAAAAACAACATACAGATTTTAGTATGAAGTAGAATGTGTGACATTTTCCAACTATTCTCGGAACAAAATCCTTAGCTACTTTCCTCCTCGAAAACGAACTATAGAAAGAATCTGCAGGCGTTCGGAATAAAAGCAAAGCTATTGAGATAGGTAGCTGGCATATATGTCTGCCCTAGCTATCTACAGTGCTAATGCAAAGGGTCGGCGAAGGTTGGGATTAATTTACGTGTGGAAATCTGTTAAGGTGATCACATTAGACTACTTTACTGTACAGCATGCAAAACAAAGCAACCTTTAGTATATATGTATTATAATCTAAGTTGCTGCTGAGCAAGAAAAAAGCATTAGCGTGAAATTGAAGCACTGTAGTCTTTTTGTCTGCTGCCGGTCTCCTTCTTTGCCAGCATTTTCCTCATCTCCGGTGGATCCCTTTCCGTCCTCTTATCATCAATCCTTTTCTTTTCTCCCTTGCCGTTGCTTGCTAGCTAGCTAGTGCCCCCTCTTCATTTCTTTTGTACATCTCTAGTTGGCTTGCTAGCTTCTCCACTATATATATAACGATTGTCCTACTCTTATAGTATATCATATTCCAAATAATATGGTTGTTGGATCTACTTCGTTATACTTTGTTGAATTCAGAGAATCAAAGGCTGAAGTTTATCCGTTATATATATTTACATTATTAACTTTTGTCAACGAACCGTAGAATATACTTAGCTTCACTAATCGTTTCAAAAAAAAAAAAAAAAAAATGGGAAATAAAGAAAATTGGATAATCTAGTGAAAAGTTAGGGCTGTTTAAAATTCCACGTGTGGAAGGTGCAAATCACTGGAGCCTCCAGCTATTTTGAAGCTAGACCGTAGGGGCTTGTAGCGGTTTAGCTAACTCGCTTCTATTGGCAGCGATTTGGGTAAAATCACTTCCGACTCCAGCAATCTTTCTCCAAAATCAGTGACTACTTCAACGATTATTCCAAACGTGTATATTTTGAAACATTTTGGTGCAAGTTACGTGGAATGAGAATTTTTTTCCTAAGAATTTATGCTTTTAAAAGGAAAATTCAATGATATAAGACCCATTTTTTTTCCACTTTCAACAACTAGAGTTACTAAGAAGGAGCTCCATTCGTCTATCAAATTTAGGTCACTGATCTGTTAAAAATTAATTGATCATTGTTTTACATCAGTTACCCCCTACCCCAAGTTTCCATTGTAAATTCCTACCAGCTGCTTCTTAAAATCACACCTATGACTTAAAAGAAAATAACACAATGAGCCTGTCCTGGAGTTCATGTTTCTCAATCATCTAACGCGACGAATCCAGTACCAGATGTTTGATTCTCAGCAGCTGTGGTAGCATCATTTGCTTTGCTGCTGCTCTCTATTCCCGGGTTAGCATCGCTCTTCCATTGTTCTCCCATTTCCACATCGGCCGACTCTGGCGTAGGCCCAAACAGTGAGCTGATTTGATTCTGCAAATCAACCTCCTTCCTGCCGAAACCAGCTGGAGGCAGCTTTGGTAGTTTTGGCTCTACGTCTGGCACTGGTTGTTCTGAAGCCGTTGCATTCTTCTGCTCTGGGTTTGAGAGAACATGACTCATCTGTTCACAGACGGTCTCCAGCGGCTGGAGGTTAGGCTTCGATTCAAAACTAGCTGTTCGGCTTCTTGAAGATGTCTCGGCTACTTCAGGAGCAACAACATTGTCAGCAGTCTTGCACATCTGGAGAGAAGAATGGTGGAAACAATGTGATCAGATATTTACTGAGAAGCCTAGTCCATGAACTTAGTTGTTAAACTCGGGTGTAACTGCGAACAATTACCTTGTTGTAAAGGCCAACCATTTCCAACCGATCTGGATCATTGACACATCCAGCAGTAAGAGCATCTTTTGGTGCTGCAAGAGGAAGAAAATGGGGCCACGTCAGTAGATAATCTTCTTGTTTTATGTCAGTAAATATTAGACCAAGTATGAAGGTGAAATGCTTCATTCAGCCATGAACGTCTACAGTTCATCACAAGTGTCCCAATTACATGCGCCAACTAGCGAAAGCAAAAAAGAAATCACTTACTTATTTCTTCCATTTGAGGGTGTTGATTGTTTGTTACCATATCAATATTCACCGAACCTGAAGCTGTACCATTGGCTCCCCTAGTTTCACTACCAAGCCCTTTCTTCTCCGGCTTCGCATCAAGGTTAGCCTGCACATGAGAATCAAAGCAAAATTATAATCCCTAATATGACCTTTCCAACGCACATCTACTAATGAATGCAACTAATGCGCGTAATCTAATCAAAATCTTATCCAACTTACGAAGTATTGTATCTGGCACTCAGCGTGCATCGCCTTCTCAAGAAGAAGCACCCTTTTCTTAACAAACTCAACCATTCTTCTCTGCATATCTCTGAGCTGGTAAAGTATTGATTCTTGGTATGATTGCCCTTGACTTGTTCCATGGGGCATATTAGTACCAAGATCATTCGCGGAAACATTTACTGAGGCTGGCTGGATACCTGGACCTTCAGCAGTTTCAGAACTGGCACCATTTTGTGCCTGAGCAGCCATTTGTCCAGGGGTCGGTAGGTTTATAGCGGGAAGATTCAGCTCTTGGGAGATAACTTCTTGTATCTTTAAGTCCTTGTCATCAAGGATAGCTTGCCATCGTCCATACCCTTGCCTTTAGCGAGTACAAATAATTAAAAAGTGCAACAATCATAAAACGGGTTAAGAAGGCACTGAACAGTTGAAATCAGTGAATGTAAGCAATACAGCATTCACTAGTTAATTTAGAACTTCAAACCCAATCCACTTAATACGATGGCAAAAACTTAACTCCAAACAGAATCATATTCAGTTTGACGTAGGAATATGATGTTTCAAGAGGTTGGTCCAGAAAATCAGTTTGTAGAAATGGAAAGCACTGACCATCAGCGTGTGTACAAGATAAAAAGGCATCAGTCATGTCCCAACAAAATGCACTAGAAATCCAAGGATGGTCGAGTCGCTGATTTATTGCTCCAAGAGACTCGTTATTTTGTCAGGGACAGTCTGACTACTAGAATCTAGAAACTACTTCTGAGATCTTACTAATTTTTAGAAAAATTTGAATAGCATATCACAATTAGTTTGAGAATATGGCCATCTCTATAGGTACATTAATGAGGTTCACCATCTCTCTAAGAAAGCTTACTTGATTACTGCCTTGAGTAGAACTTTATCATGTGCTTCAGTCCAAAATTTTCCGCACTTAAGCCCAGGCAAGCGCGGATAAACTTCCCCGTCAAAAAGAGGCATGCTAGGATTCTCTGATACGAGCCTCACCTATCAAACCAAGAAAGCATGAGAACATAAACCGAACAGTGGGTTGCTGGGCTACATAGTGGACGAATTATTTTGCATTGTAGTGTAATTAATTGTTTGATGACCTTTTTCAATTTGCTTAGTGGTAAGAAAATATAAAAAAGGGACATGTATCAAGCTTAATGCTATAGATTCATGATTCGTCAGCTAAATGAATGTCTATGCAGCTTAGGTACAAAGTGAATTCAGATGTCTTATGAAGGACAATTCAACAATTACTACTTAAGCACTTCCCATCATGACTATGAAAATCATTAAAAACAGAACAGGTATGTGAAGTCACCTTTTCCCTCACTATATTCAATGTTGCAATTCTAACCAGCACGTCTGCAATTCTAAGTCCTTCTTTGGGAACACCATCTATAATCAAAATCATAAATGCCAGTAAGTAGAGAAAGTGAACAAACTAAATAGCAGTAGCAACCTTAAAGGATAAAAGAATGATCAATCACCTGAGAAGTATGGTAAGTCGTTGATTTCTTCAACCAAATGTTTCAAGAACATCTTCCCATAGCTGAGCTCAGATAAAAAGGAGAGAAAAACACAAGGTTTCAGGACATTGATTGATGATTTGAAATGGAAAACATAAAAAACAGGCTGATCGCAGCGGAAATATTACCCATTCAGGTGAAAATGACCACACAAAAGAACAACGGACAAAAATGTTACACTATAAAGAAAATATCACAATTCATAGACTTTTAAACCTAAGATACCGTGACAACTGACAACTCCAATAGAGAAAGATTGTAAATCAGAGTCTCCATACTTGTGAATTTCTTCCAAAGTCTTCTGTTTCATGCGAGTTACAAACTGCTTCCAGTTTTCATCCCCAAATCCAAATCTACACAGACACAAGTATATAAGATAAACTGGGAAAATGTACCAACTAGTTATACAAAGTAGTTTTATCCAACCATAAAAAACTAGTTTTATCCGACCCTACAAAAGGAAATATGTATAAAAAATTACCTACAAAATAAACGAATGTGAATACTACTTTCCTGCTGTGGTTGTCAATCGAAGAAACAAACTATTCATAAAGGGAAGACAAGAGCCAAAAATAAATATGGAGATATGGTGAGCGCAACCTCATTATTATTTGGACAAACAAAGCCCTCTGGTTTTGATTGAAACCCAGTACTTTGAAAGACCTTCCTTCTCCTTCCATCAAAGGAATAGGTTCAGAATTGTCCCCTGAAACACAAGTGTAGCACATAATATGATCAACACCTTGCCACAACTCTAACACAAAGGAAGCTGCACAATGTTAGGACACTACGAGCTCTCTTTCTGTAAGGCCTTCTCCCAGCCTGAGTCCCCGATGAATTTTCTCCATCTGTTAAATCTGCTTCATAGTTATCGTCCTCCCCATCAGATGTTAAATCTTCCATACCAGCAAGGTCGTCATCTTCAATGGACGCGATCTAAAAACATTCCTCAAAATAATTATACATCAAATTGTTGTTATAAGTGCATTATACGACAAAGTGGTAAACCAACATGTAATGTAAACAAAAAATAATTTTGATTGACCCCGCTATAAGTAATGTATTTCCAGGATCACAACAGATACATGCATTCACAAGTAGAAAAACACCACATAAGCAAACACCACGCTATTTCTGCGCAAATCAGCATTAGCACAACATTCATAGAGATAGAGGTACCAGAAGTCAAATTCCATACCAATATGCAAATAATGTATAATACCTGTTTGCGGCTTCTTTTCCCTTTTCCAAGAGTCTTAGACTCCTCCACCTTTTGCTCTTCAACTTTGCCTCTTAACAGCTCCTCCCAGAAATTCAACTTCTCAGAATTGCTCATCGTATCTGGTGCAGGCTTTGGAACTTCTTCCTCTGCTTCTTCAATATACTCAAAGTTTGCAACCTAGAACAAGAAAACAAGTAAATGGCAACAGTAAATCCTGGTCCTTTTGGTTATTGTAACCGCTAAAATATGATGGTCGCTACCAAGACTAAATATGAGAGTCAGATGCTATTTTTACAAGCATCTAACTACGGTTTCAGTCGCAAAAGAAAAACTACAGCAAAGGGAATCAGACACGAGAAAAATCACAAATCCTCAACTTCATTTCACATCCGTTAAATCTTACTGGTAAAACATTTCAGGCATATAAACTGTGTCAAGGAGTGAACATTCAGCAAGATGGGGAGGATAATGGCAATAAAATTAGTAGATACAAAAAAAAAAAGAAATACATACCAATTGAAATTTTTTTACAAATATATTGTTTTCCATAAATCATAAGCTAAATAATACTTCATTCCCGATTATGAGCAACTAACCAATTAAATTAATTTCATGAAACAGTGGCAAAAATACGTACATGAGCTGTCTGTCTATAAGAGACTAACCAGATTCAGAAGCAGGAAAATTCTGGTGCAATTTTGCAAATGCATTTATCAAAAAATAAATAAAGAAATTTATACACAGAGGAACAAAGCAAAACAGAATTTGACGCATTTAAACAACAGAGCTGAAATGTTTGAAAATAGGCATTCTCATAACTAACAGGGTATTTGTGATATGTACATATGAAAGGTTGAACTAAGCAAAGGACAAAATAAAATTAATGTTCTCATAACATTCACTTACCATCGCAGCCCATCTAAAGGAAAACTAACATAGAAAACCAGAGTCCTAGTCTGGTCTTCAAAACTGTGAAGTAAATGACAAGGAATGCATGTGTAACAACAGAATCCGTATAAACCACATAATGCACATCTCATAATATTCAAAATAATAACATGGATGTATAGCAAATGTTGAGAAAATGACCTTGAATGCCTTCAGAAATCCGTCTTCCTCTTCATCATTCAATGTTGCCTCTTCATCTCCAATTTGTTCACGGTCCAGTAATCTAGAAACAAAACATATACAAGTTTATTAGACTTTTTCACTGTGACAAACCTCCAAATACAAGCAGCTAGAAATTATTTACCGGTTGATAGCAGCATCATCATAATGAATTTGACGAGATTTTCCTGCTTCATCATTCTCGTCAGCAAATAGCTCCTTTGACCCATACCTGATAATGTCATCCAATTCTTCCTATAATAATAATAATAAAATTAAACCATCAATATTTGAAGGAGGTGATTGTCACACGGAAGTATATAACATCACATATCAACTTCCGTGGATTACTTTCTCATGTAACAGCCTAAACATACAAACGATAAGTAACAAAAAAGTTCGCAAGAGCATCATAAATTGCAGGTCGGCTTTTCTCAAGGATAAACGAGAAAGGCACCCAAGAATGGAACACTTTACCAACGAGCAACAACTAATGCACTCTTAAGATAACTTACCAATGGATTAATCATTAAATTACACATGAAGCATTTTTTACTAGCAGGCAATTACTGAAATATGTAGTGTACTTCTACTCACTATGATCATAGGATACAAGAAAGGCATCGCAGTGGATGATTAACTTACTAATATTGCATCCGACTGACTCTCATTGATGCCCCTCGGGATCCTAGAGCAAATGGAAGTAGGAAAGAAAATATTCTGTTTCAAACTAAATCGAGAACTAGGGATGTGAAGGCGTGACTCCCAAATCCAAGAGCAGAACTGCTCTTAAGAATTTAACCAAGAAGGCTTTCAAAATCCACTCAGTAAGGTCTAACATTAAGCTTCACATTCCACTCAATGCGACTCGCAATGCTTCTATTGCAGGATTCTTCTGAAACCAATTTGACAATGTAATCGCAATTGAATAATATTTTTCCTGAAAGACTTGTTCTTACATGAGAATGTAACAATTACAGATAATTCGGGAAGAATTGAGAGGGATTGAGAAGAGAATACGGGTTAGGGATTGAGAATAGAAGAATTGGAAGAATTTAGGGAAGGATAAGAAGAGATTGGGAATTATAGATTTCAACAATTGTTCTTTCCTTCTTCTCAAAATAATACCTCAAGCCTTCAAATAGGTTCTCACAGAAATACACAATAATAATAATAATAATAATAATAAAATAACAAAAGCTAACCTGGGGACCTAAACCTGAGCCCCCACGGCCAGCCCATCCGACCATCACCTGCCCTCTGTATTTCTAACAGAGAACCTCAAATAGGCGAAGGAAAAACCTAATAAGATAAAAGCAACAGTCTTCATGTTGCGCAGTATAAACACATCGCAATCATGGTGGTTCAGAACTCGTCAGAGTTTGGAGAATATGGAAGCAACGGTTAGCTGAATATAGAATCAAACATCTGGAAAAACAATGATGGAATTCTCTCTAACCAGTAACCACCATAAACTTGTTCTTCGATACTTAGACTTAAGGAGAACTAAGATCTTTTTCCTTTTCAGCCAAATTAAAGAGAGGAAATTGTGACATGCAATTTGCCGGCATTACAAAATTCCACCTATTTTGTTTGTCGCCTCATTTGTTGCTGGGACTAACTCTTTTTCATTCCTTATCTGCGCAGCTAATACTCATTATCTTCCACAAGATGCTGCTGGCTCTGCCATGGTCATTCTCCGAAATGACGCAAACTTATGTGAAACTATCGAATCTTCAAGTCTACACTACTCAGTCTAGTTTCTAGGGTTGTCATCACATTCAGCCTTGATGCAACGATTGACAAAATTCAGAATTTTGTCTCTTCAAAAGTATGCAGCTGAGAACTCAGATCCACATTTCTTATTATGAATAACTCAACTTCACATTGGTCACCATTGTTGGGAGATCGCAGCTAAAACCACAGAAAACCTGTGGATCGAGTACCGTAACTAATGTGCCTAGAGTTTCTAGTGTAAATAGATGTAGTAGCGATAGAATCGAGTTTTTCAAATAGTAGTGATTTGAAGGCTGCCTCTCCAAACCATGATCACTCTTATAACCCACTCAAAAGACACTCTCTACCTTCTATTCTAAATCTGTTGCAGGAAACCCTTTTAACAACAATAGAGAAGCCTAGTTAGAGAAAGATCCTAACCATATGTTTCCTAAGACTTCACTTACATAAGGAATCTAATAAGAAAACCCCAGATTAGGAAAAACAACTCGTAGATTACAGCAACACCCTTCACGATGAGTGATCTTGCCCAAATCCGTTTGCATTTACAACTCATTGTAACAGCACTGGTTTAAGAAACTAGAATGTACCTGGTTAATATTTTGAGCCTTCAACCTCCCAACAACAAGATGCTCCAAAACCATTTTCTTCTTAGTCAGTTGCATCATGCGCTCCTCAATACTTCCACGTGTTATGAGTCTATAAATCATCACCTGTACCACCAAACCAGCAATCATACCAGCAGCTACAAATGAATATAACTTCCACACTATCATGAACGAACAACAATCTGACCTTGTTGGTTTGGCCAAGTCGATGAGCCCTAGCCATTGCTTGGAGGTCAGCATGTGGATTCCAATCACTATTGAGATAAAAAGAAGCATACATATATTCACCAATTTGACAACCACCCGGGGAAAAAAAGAACAAAACGCCATCAAACACCAGTTTTCCATATTGCAAAATTCAAATCAGCATTACAGTTTTCCCTTAAAATTGTCACACGAGAAAGTGGGTAACAAAGATGTAAAAACCACATGAAAAGATGCCACACCTAACCTTTCACTACAAAAGAAAAAAGAAACTGAATCTAACGACTACCAAAATGGAGAAGACGTAAAATTTGACGAAGTAACATGCATGTTAGGTGTGGAGAAACCTACTAAATGCATCCAACATCTAAGCTAGCTTCAAAATATCACACTCAATGGCCAACTTTTAATGCCCTGCAGGTTGAATCCCATAGAAGCTCAGTAAATGTACCACTGTGATGTGTTCTCACCAAATGAGAGCCGTTCCATCGGCCTAAATTATAAAACAAACCCATACATGCTCTGATCTAATCACGCAACCACGTCGTAACCCGTAAGTTCTGTATTGAGTTAAGAATTTAAAGCTTATTCTACAGAAATATCAATACAGGATACTGAGAGGTTACCTGTCGTATATAATAACTGTATCAGCCGTTGCAAGGTTTATTCCCAGTCCTCCAGCTCTAGTAGAGAGAAGGAAACAGAATCTTGAAGAATTTTTTGCATTAAACCGATCTATGCGAATCTGCCTCTCAGCTCCAGCAACTTTCCCATCAATTCGTTCATATAGCCATTTCTGACCATACAAACACAGGTATGATAGTAAAAAAAAAATACTAGTTCGTCATACTAGACTAAAATGTGTCCCCATGTGTGCAAGTGTCTGTACTAGACCAAAATGTGTCTCCATGTGTGCAAGTGTCTGAATAAGCATATTTCCCAAAAATATAGCATGCTTAGCCGGGCAAATCTATAAAAAATAAAGCACACCTTATGGAGACAGTAATCCTCAAGCAAGTCCAGCATGTGCTGAAATTGAGAATAAATCAGAACTCTATGCCCTTGCTCTTTTAGCTTCACCATCATTTTGTCAAGCAATTGTAACTTTCCCGATGAATCCAGAAATTGCCTGTCAAATTAATCATAAACATGAATGCAAAGAATCCTGCAGTAAAGATAAACTACTTCATCAAAGAATCAGAACAAGAACTTTGAAAGTTCATAGCTAGAACATAGAAGAAACCCTTCAAGCTGTAAGAAGCACAGAAATAACAGTTTGTTAACAGTTACAAATATAAAGAAAATGACATCTTTGGCTGCTTTCAGTTTGGTTTGTGTATGAGGAAAAATAAAAGAAGTAGACGGTGGGTAAAAGCAACACTTAAAGATAGCAAAATTGCATCCTTTATATCTATCCAGAGGCCAATCGGACCAAGGGCCACATAGGATCAGGCCATGCCCTGTCCTGCTTAAACTCATAATGTACTGACCAGCTAGGATATCCCTGTAAAAGATATTGAATTGCTGAACAAAACCAAAAGATGTCCAAAGAGCATTCAAATATAAAACATAAAGTAGACTGGTAAATCAAGATACCAGACACAAATGCTCTCATACACACAGTTGCATAAAGCTGTAATACTCACGTACCTGAAAGATTCATTGGGATCTTCTATTGCCGGTTCGACTCCTTCCAACATATAAGGATGACAGCAGAGCTTCCGCAGTTCCATAACCACATTGATAAGTGAAATCTGATCAAGCAACCTCGAATCAAAATCACACGCTAACTTAAGGTGACAATGGAAGTGTTCCCTGTCAGCAATCAGAAAAATACCTGTGGACCACCACGCCGAGTTAGAATTTGGTAATTACGAGTTAGAATTGCCTTGTAATATTCCTTTTGCACGCTGCTGAGCTCAACCCGAAGAATGAGTTCCTTTTTAGGAGGTAATTCAGTCATCACATCCTTCTTCACTCCTAAAGCAGACCCAAAATTCCAGATCAGTGTCTCAGTGACATGACAACCAATCAATAGTCTGAACTCTGAACCCTCTCATTGCTATGCAAAAAGGAGCATGGCAAAGATCGAACAAGAAAATGAAAAAGAGGTTAAAACCATCAATGTTTGCAACATGGGGTGGGGGCGCACATGAACTGTGAGTATTCGTAATAAAAGCATCATCAAGAGCATGACAGCATCAATTAATGTCCAAGAAGGAATTTGATAGCAAAATGGAAGAAATAATTCCCTTCTGTAACAACAAATCTCGTGGGCACTCTAATTATTTAGCAACTGTAAGAAATGCAGTCAGTAAACCGGGATAAAAAAAAAACAATAACTTAGCTTATCCATTTTAATATGGCACACTTGACAATGAGGTGCTAACGTGCTTTGCAATGTAGACCGTGTTTTATTTGCCAGCAAATAATGGTGCTGCTATTGTTCGCCAAGAAAACCATCAACCGAGAAAACAACAATACATTGAGATAAGCACTTCTGCAACACAAGTATGTATGGTGCATACTCTAGATAAGATGGTGTTCAAATATTGATATCTGAATTCTACATGTGTTTGCAACAAAAGAGGAATTAAAGTTAATGAATTGTGTCCTTGTTGGGGGGAAAAAAACATGTATGGTCTCCCGAAACAACAGACCCAAGGAAGCACAAGAAAGATGAACTGAAACTACCAGACAGACAATAGCAGGGAGAAACTAGAAACTAAAAGAGCTATTACTTCTTAGGAGGTGGGGAGCCAACATTTTATGAAGTCGAGAAATCTGCTCCTCCTGATTTATATCCTTGAACTCTTCTTGGAACTCCTCCAAACTTGCAAACTAGATACATTCATACATAAAAGTAACATAAATTAATGATCAGTATCTTTGTTGACTCCTGTAAAAACGAAACATGATATCTATAAAGCTGGCAGAATACTTACCTTTCCAGCATCAAGGAAGTGCATGAGCATGAATAGCTCATCCAGATTGTTCTGTAGAAGGAGTTATCAGTGGTAGACATTAGGAGGACAAATGTTAAGAAAATGAAAAATAGGCGTTGAAGCAAACAACTATAAGCTTTGTCAAGAAGCAGGGGTATCTGAGCACACGGTTCTATCAATTTTATAACAACTATCTTCAACATGCGTGGATTGCCACAGAATTATCATATATATGGAACTGAAATCCAAAAAATATTTTTACCAAAGAACCAAAAGATAGACATCAGAACCAAACATAAATAAGAAAATGATAACAAGATAAATTCACCAAGATTTAGCAATCTAGCACTCACCAAAAAATCAAAAGCACCATAGAGAAGAAGGAAGCATTATACAGGACCAATACTGGAATTCTTAGCCTTTCTAGACTTCTAGTAACTGACCAATTTAAAGAATCCAAGTCCCGCAACTAATTTTTGGATCAAATCCTCATCCAAAGAAATAGCAATCTAGGACTACAGTTCCCCGTTTCCATGTCTATTCACAATGCAGATACTTGATTTATTAGCGGAGAACATAAAGAGTTGGCTATGGAGCAAAAAAGCAATAGCCCTAGCATCCAAGTTAATATATGATCATTGACATTGAACAAACCTGGAGAGGGGTTCCTGTTAACAGAACACGGTGATTACTAGAATATTGCTTCAACGAGAGAAAGAGTTTTGAATCCTTGTTTTTTAGGCGATGGCCTTCATCAACGATCTACATAAGACATGAAGATGGACTAGTGATACCAGAAGACAGTATCAACATTAAAATTGAGCAGTAGCTCTTACCATGCACTCCCATCTAATGGGCCTTAACGATGCTGTGTCCAAGTTAATCATCTCATACGAAGTCAATAGCACATCGAATTTTATCCTATCTTGCTTGCTTTCTTTAACAAGTTGACCAGATTTCTTTATCTTGATCCTCTTGTGATTCTTAGGGTAGTAAAATTCAGATTCCCTAATAACAGCACGAGCTTGACCAGAACCAACATACATAACCTGCATAAAAGATACTTGACTTACTAGTCTTAATTGACTGATAAAGTCATACGTAACATAAAATCATTGGCACTTACGACATTCATTTGAGGTGCCCATGTTGCAAATTCACGTTCCCAGTTTCTCAATGTGGAAAGTGGAGCAACCACCAAATGAGGGTACACATTCTCTTTGAACAGAGATGCAAGAAAGGCAATACTTTGTATAGTTTTCCCTGAGAAACAGACGCAATAAACAACCAAAACTCATGAGAAATGCCAAAACAATCTACCAAGACAAACAACTAAGGTTTTTCCTATTAATTAAAGTTAAAACTTAGAAGGAACATATTTAAAAAAAAAAACTTAAAAATAGATAAGCAAGGCTCACCTAGACCCATCTCGTCAGCAAGAATGACATGCGTCTGCTTGGAAAAAGAAAACCGCAGGAAGTTTAAACCTTCAAGTTGATATGGATGCAAGGAGCCTTCAAGAAAAATCAAAGAACTGAGGATTCGCGATCATTAAATACCATAATATATTGACATTTCAGATGATAAACATAAGCATGATGTACCTCCTCCTGCAAGAAATTCAGGGCTTTGTTCATACTGCTGAAATTCTTTCAATTTCTTCTTCGCATCAGTAGCATCAAGAAAACTCTTTTGCTTAGACAGCCGATTTGCCCTTGACTGAATTGTATTGAACTTCTCTATTTCTGGCTCAAATGCAGATATATCAGATTCAAATTCCCAGTAACATTCGTCATAAGGAAGTTCTTTATACTTCACAAGATATTCCTTTTCATCATCCTCGCCCCTGCAACATTTGTAGTCAGATAGTAACTAAGTCAAATAGAACCACATTTCAAAACCAAGACACTACTGCCATAAATTGTTCTGATCGCACACGGCTTTTGTGTAACAAAATAATCCTTTGACTCAGATCATGAACCGCAATTGTTATTCCAAAATGCTGACCCAGAATCACAATTCATGATAAAAGAAATATGTTCCTTATGTACCTATGACAGATAATCAATGCTCAGAATTTATAATCGTCATAAAGAAAAAAGTCAAAGGTCTCCGAGTTTTTACAGTAAAATTGAGCATAACAAGATTTCAAGTATTGAAGCCGCTAAGAACTAAAAAACACATTTCCAATACCCAAAAGGTTTTGATAGCTTAAGTTAGTCCATACACCAAGTACTTATAGACAGATCACAGAGGCCATGCTTCATCAAATAGCTGCATAGATATACATGGCTAACGTGCATTAGAACTTTAATAGTGCCTCAACCTGCAAGCAAGAATGCGATCAACTGTAGTCCACTCTGGCCGGATAGCAGATTCATCCTCAGAATTGGCTGACGTCGTTTGTCGTTGAAAGTTGTTTACTTTAGTCCTAAGACGAGGATTTGACTTGAATGCCTTCACAAACTCTTTCTCAGGGACCCTATGTGGACAGGGACAGAAAGGGAAAGAGAACGAGCAAGATGAATGGGAGAAAGGAGTATAGAGAAAGGAGACGATAGAATATGCCAGTAACAATATCTGATTATACAGATGCAGAAATTGAGAAACAAAAGCATATGAACAAGTTAAAACAGCAATATCATGGGACCAATTTTGAGCAGAATAAAAGTACTCAAGACACTTGGGATGGTGTCAAAAGAAAAATGCTATGTAAGTATATAACTACCAAGTGCAGTGAAGATACGACAACCCCTTCCATTTAACCAAATACTGCTTAACATAGATTTGCTTTGACCCCAACTTAGAAGCATCATCATCGTCAGCTGAAGTAGGACGCATTTCGCTGTCCAATATCTTCTCAATATCATTTAGAGGACTAACCTGCAGATATAAGAATAAAACTCATGAATTGGAAGTACCACTTCAGGAGATACAAGTACACTTCACTGGATGAATTAGATTCATACACATTCAGGACATCTCCAACTGCTGGAAAGAGGAGCTTTAAGAGGTGGAAGAAGGCACTTGGCATGGTAAGCATAAGTGCAGGTTTCGCAATTCACAAGTTCCCCACTTTCACTGCATACTTGACATTTATCATCTTTCTGCATCAAAGATGGAGAAAAGATCAAAAGAAGGACAAGAACAATAAATTTAAGTATCATGTTGTAAAATTTGTAAATATATGATATAACCACCACAAGCCAGCCTTATTACTTCAGGCAGTACTCTGGCACATATGATTATCTGAGATATATTCCGCTCATGCCAGAACGTGACCAACCAGGAGTTAATAGTTAAAGAGTTGAGCATATTGACTTCATGAAGCACAATGCTATTACTATTTAATTCAAGTATCAGCATAGGCGTAACATTTTGAGTGATCAGAACAAGACTAGCGAAAAGAATGTGAAACTTCATTAAGTTCACAATTCCCTTTGTTTCTCTGCACCAACAGCAAGCATTTTGACCAATCATCTTCACTGGTTCAAAGAAACATGACAAAGATGTATTTTCCAGGATAACATAAGCAACTGCTTCAACCTAGAATATCACTAGCTAAGACTGCATCTCATAAAGGATGAAAAACCATAACACACTACATTTGAAGGGGAAGGGATTTACAAGTCCAGAAAATTCCGTCCAGATCAATCTACTAATAATCAAGCTAGTAATTCACTAACTGACACCACAGTCCTAGGACAGATTCAAGAAGCAACAGCAGATAAATTGAATCAATCCCCTTTCAGGCCTGTTCCCTTCACGGTTAACATAAACAATTGTCACCTCATAAAAATTGTCATGAAAACCTAAGTACGTGTTAGAAGCATCTTGATTTAACATAGGGGAAATATCAGAAATGTATCAATCTATGCAGTCAAATACGAAATAGTTGAAAGCGACAATTCAACTTTAAGTAACTTCCACTGTAAGCTTTTCATCGGAAAAAAACTTCTAGTCTAAGCAATCACCAAACAATGAATCGATAGGTATGAGGCGCTACATTTAACTATCAATAGACTAAACATAATTTAAGGATATAATAAGAACATACGACCAAACCAAGCATTAGAAACAATAGTGAAAAAGGATCATATGGACAAGAATTAGAAACATACCTTATCAGGTCGAACTATCCTCTCGATTTCTTCATGTGGTTTCGCACCTTTTCTCGCCACAAAATCAGCTTCATCGTCTGACTCGTCTAAGTGATATGTTGGCCTCCGCTCAGATCGGGCTCTAAGCCTCTCAACCAAGCTACTCATATTCTGCAAGACAGAGAATCCACATAAAGCGCCCCTAACATGCAGAAGCCACCGAAAGTTCCCGCAAGAATGTAATGGGAAATAACTACTATGAGCCAACAAAGGAAAGACAAACCTTTTAAAGACTAAAAGGTGATCGATGAATTTAAATCATAATGTACATCGAGAGCCAGTCCAATCCTACATTCTTTTATAGACTATACAATGATCGATGAATTTAAATGGTAATGCACGTTGAGCGCAGTCCAAACCTCGTTCTTTTAAAGACTAGACGATGATCGATGAATTTAAATAGTGTTGCGCATTGAGCGCAGTCCAAGTTCATCCTCACTTTACAGTTTTAGATAGCATAATTAATGATTAGCCAAAAGCCCTTGCTTACAGTATCATGAGTTCTTGCCCCACCGTATGCCCTAGAAAATGTGCCTACCAGTCCACTGAGATTGCCTTCTTCTACAATTGGACTAACTCAGTCAAACAACCACTTACCATGATTACATTCGATGCGCATTCATCATCCAAACAGAACAAGAAAAAGAACAAAACTAATGCTTAGGGTTACAATATTCTCTTTTTGCTGCCCTATTTAGGAAAACGAAACTCCAGCAGCAGCAAAAAAAAAAAAACAAAACAAATTCCCAAGACCACGGCGAGGCGGGAAATGTTCAGGCAAAAAACAAAAGCTAAAACAACAGTAGCCTAAGAAGAAACGCCATCACCAATTAACTGAATTGCGATTGTCTAGAAACAATGTCTCATCTGCACGAAACAAATTAGAGACGCTGAAGATAAGAAACAATCAAGTCTGCCGAAAGCGAGCAAGCTCCCGCAAGGGAAAAACAGAAAAGCCTAGCGAGAGAGAGACAAGGTCACAAGGACTGGTGCAACGACTCATAAACCTCCATGAAAGGAATTCTTAGCGGGAAAAGGTAAAACAAGGATGGAATGCAAAAGGACAAGGAGACCTGAAATGCACGCTTCCGCAACGGAGCTTCCCCGCAAGTACGGCGCGCAGAGGGCGGGAGAGAGAGTACAGAAGTGTACAGCGACAATTTTTGGTCTCGGCCAATTGACAAAATGGACTGGAGGAAAGACAAGAAGCATGAAGGAAGAGAGGAGAGAAGACGGAATTTTACCGCAGTCCGCAGTGAACCAGAATAGATTTTCCGGATCTGCCTGAATGTGGATTATGGATCCCCGTGACCGGAAATCGAAGGTCCTATCCTATTTTCTCTCTTCTGAAAGTTCTTTTTCTTTTCCTCGGACTTGGGCTGGATCACTAAGACTCTAAGAGGAAGGAAGCAGACAGAAAAGTTGTAAAACCGGATGAAAAATAAAAATGGAGGACAGGTTTATTCTATATATTTTTTGATAATGGTTTATTCTATATATATTTACGGCGGGTTGGTATTTATGGCAGAAAATCTACATTACCAAAATTCAGTAGTTCAATTACGAAAATGCACTTTACCTTATGAATGACAGCTCATGTTTTCGGGAGGGTAATACCGGACATTCATGACATTTTCGTGAAAATTCCAATATATTATGTGTTATCTGTTATGGGAAAGATAACATAACTTAGTAAAAAACTAAAAATCATTTTGATGCTTCATCTTTTATATATTTCTAGTTTGATGTTGATGAAAATGACTCCTCTAAATTGAGTTCTACTTTGGATGTTGTGATTATTTCTGTTTTTTTCGTTGCATGATTCTTTCTATTATATATGTACAGCACAATGTAGTTCTTAGGTAATCCAACATATTTCACTTCTTATTTTGTAAGTAATACTCAAAAGAGGAGTTGAACAATGAGCGAAGAGTAGATGTCGATTTTTTCGAGACTGAAAATAGTAAAATTGAATGTGTGTGTGGAAATTAGAAAGTCATTCTACTAAGAAATTTTCACTCTAGATATAGTTTGTTCACAAATGGATACAAAAAAAAAATATTTTTCTTTATCGTCCTCGTTAGAATTAGAAATTGATCAACACAAATAAGTTGTATTCTCTCTCCGGTCATTACTAAAGCTATAAGCTTGCATAAAATCAATACATTTTCAATGTAGTGTTTCACTCATAAAATTGATTGCTTAGCAATCACCGGCTCGCAAATGAATGGTATGGAACTCTACTTCACGGTTTGTTAATTGTGGATGTATTTCAATTTACTTGTATATATTATGTGGAAATTCCATAGCAAGAGAATTTATCTATGTGATAAGTGCTCAACTAGATGAAAATTTAGGAGAATAGCTTGATCGTCAGATCCATCGTATTTGGATAGCCACAACAAAGGAAGTTGTGATCATTGAAATGAAAGATGGCAAGAGCTTCAACCAAGATGGACAAGAATATCAATGGTCATAATGTTGTTACTTTTTAATCGCAAGTCGTCGAGATCAAAGTCGACATCAAGGTCTCCATGAAGATTGCTGACGCTATCTCCACCATTATATAGTCTTGTCAAACCCCATGTTATTATTACCCTCTGTCGATGTTCATATGATTGCGGGCGCCTACAAATGCATCACAATATTGTCGCTCGTAAACATCACCAACGATAAAACAATTACTTGAGAACTGGGCAACCACTCGTAAGTTGAAGGACAAATTTCATACCACATATATCCACCAAACTCTTTTTTGGAATTAAAATTTCATATGGTAGGACCATGTAGTTGTTCTTTAGATTCAATGGGTCATATGGTTAGACAAATCATACTGATACCCTTAAATTTGTATCCATTAAAAATTGGATGGCGAAATTGTAAAAAGGCTCCAATGGTTAGTCACTATGTAAATTTTGGGAACTCAATTAACTTTTAATCAATGTAAATGCGAGCTGTCATTGAGTAAATTTGTAAATAATAATAACCATTGGATTGGGCTTTCCATCAATAACAAGAAGAAAAATGGTTATAAAAAAATAACAAAATGAAAAATAGAAGTATTATTTTTTTCTTATAATAAAAATGGAAGTATTATGAATAAAATGATAAAAGGATGCATTGTAATACAATCCCGATATATAACAAATCAATAGAAGGAATATGCCTGTGATTTATGTATATACATTGTATTTATAATATTGCCAATCAATATAAACATAAATGCATTTGTAGATATTTATACAATCATACATAAATCATACCGGTAATCTATAGTAGTCGTGACTCTTATCAAATGATTTTCTCATTATTTATTGCGTTACAAACAAGTTTGAATGAATGAAATATACTTTGAATCGATGAAATATACTTTATTGGATACCACTGCAATTCACAAAATGGGTTCAGGCATGTGTCCCCCTCGAACCTTCGTGTTCAATACATGTGCTGAAGGGGATTCGTGTGGTATTTTGCTAAAGCAAATTAAATCTCAACACGGCCGCTGAATCACAAAAGGAGGGCCGGTAAGCTTCCCTATCACCACCCATAATGTACAACACTTCAAATCACTACATATGCCTAACTTCGCAAACGAGTTGGTTTGCGCAGTTGAGAAGGTTTGCAGGGTGCATGAACTTCTTACGAACCCTCGTGTATAAGCCATCGCCGAACAAACCCAACATAGTAGCAAGCTCTACACATTGCATTTAATCAGATAAAGTCATCACTTAAACTGCTCTGAGGACCACCTCTACAAATCTTGCAAATCAGATCCCATCTGCCTTTCTTGTCCCTTTGTTCTTGTGCATAACCTTACCTGAGTCTCAATCCGTAATCCCCAATCAAACATATTGACATCCAAAAACGTCAGTTGGAACAAAATACACGAGCCAGAAAGAAAAAGATTCAAACAGAGCAAGTTTACATATATTCATGGATTTCTACATTTCAGCCAAGCATACAGATACATACAGGAAGATTGGAGATCATGCGAAAGAGATGACTTAAGATGAAATTTCTATAGCTTCAAACAATTGCAGTTCTCCCCGTTAACAGTAGTTGATGATACAAACATCTTAGCAAATCATCTATAGATTACATAGTCAAAAGTCATCACCAGAATTAAGCTTGCAAGGAACTACTAGGTTCTTATTGAAAGTTGAAGAACACTAACTGACTGCAATAATTTACAAAGGAAAGCCCAAGCTACAAAACCCGGTCAAGGTTTTGGTTACAAATAAAGTCACTCTAGAAACAACACTCTCTTTTACCAAAAGTATACAAAAGAGAATTAACCAAGTCACACACACCTCAGAGGTAGTCTACAAATATTTTCTTCAAATACTGTTTCACACAATTTCTCATTTGTTCAATTAGTATTTTGGCCGTTCTCAACGCCAAGACCATACAACACACCAGCATACTTCTCTGTTGAGCCATTGAAGAAGTTGTCCCTCAATTTCCTGAAAGTGCAGGATGTGAGCAAGCTATCAGAGCCAGCCTGATGGCAGACACCGATTCTCTCGACCTCCAACAACTCGGCCAGCTTGTTCAAGCCACCATGAAGACTGTTACAGAACTTCATCAAGTGCTTGATGTCATACACCATGGGGAAGTACATATTGATCAGGTCAAAGAATCCAGCTTGTGTCTCGGGCAGGCTCCTGCAAGTCAAGAGCTTGAGCAAGTACCCGAAATCATACCCACTATGGAAAGTAACCCAATGCACAGCTTCATTCAACACAATCCCTGAAGACATCAGAAGCTCGCCGAACCGGCTCACATCAATACCCTTCTCATTGTTCTTCTTGAAGTCAATCCCGCATTGCCTCAGCAACTCAATGGAGTCGCTTGCATAGATGTCCTCACCAACATTGAACTCGCGGAAATTGAACTGCCAAATACAAGGCTGATCCGTCCCACAGGTGGGCAAGCTCCCTTTCTCATCAGAGAAAGTGAGACCCAGCTGGATCAGTTTCAACATATCAACATTATCCTTCAAAGTCTGATAGTTATAGTCGTTGATGTTCTTGAAAGTGCCCACGGGCCGTAGCACCACACCTGGGAACTCAGTATCCATAGCAACGTAACTGTACTGATCAACAATCTCACGAATCAAATCAAACTCCTCCTCCAGATTGTCATTCCACACCTCTCGAATATGAATCGACTCGCCTTTCGCCAAGATAGACATCCCGAACTCAACTCAAACCCTCCCCAAAACAAATCACAGAACTAAAGGAGAGAACAAAAAGCAACCAATCCAATCGAGCCCAGATCTGACAAAAGATCAAGCATCAAGTAACAGAACCACACCCGAGAAAAGAAGAATCTGAACGTCGCTCTCAACAGCCCAACGTCGGCGAGGGCGGTAAAAAGGCAAAAGCTTTTTTGACCTCGACGGAGGAGCCCTCGATTCACCAGATCTGGAAAAAACAGAAGAATTAATCACAGGGGACTACAGGCAAGAGAAAGTAAGAAGAACCCTCTCTCACAGCTACAGAACTGGGAGCGGGTGGGCGGACAAAAACCCTAGAAATGATACCGGGGGGAAACACGAGAGAGGCCGAGGATGGGAGATCTAACCTCGAATTGGTGGAATTGAGGCCCGAAGTGAACAGATCTTTAGGGTTTGGAGGTCAACGGAGAGCGAATGGAGAAAGGGGGTACGGCGAAGAAGGAAGGGATGGAGGAAACCAGCCAGCAGCAGCAGGGAAGAGGCTAGAGCCCTTTCCTCTGGATGGGGATTGGCCTTCTCTTTTAAAACGAAGACACAAAAATGGCCACAGTAAAGAAGGGAGAGAGCGGAGGGAAGGCGGAATTATTAGAGAGAGGGAGATTAGATTACTCATTTTCTTCTCTCTCTTCAGTTTCAGTTTTGGGCACTAAACGACGACTAGGTCAAGGAAACGAGAGCGTTTACACTGATTGACCTTTCAATAACACGGCGGCGTTTCTATCACTTTCGCGGTCTCAGTTCTCCATTTGGTTGGTGGCTTGGTCCTACTGCTAGCCGCTAGGGCGGTTGTTAATGACTATCGAGGTCTGAGCTGAGCTGAGTCGAGTCGAATCGAATTGAATTTTGTCTTGTTTAGGTTTGATTCATTTATCGAGTTTGGCTCGTTTATAAATGAACCGAATCTGAACAAGACAAAATTCGATTCGACTCGATTTTCGGCTCGTTTATGAACAAACTAAGTCGAGTTGAACACCAGCCGACTCATTTACTGAATATTGGCTTATTATTAAGATCAAAATTTCGACTCAAGCTCAACTTTAAGATAATTTTTGAATTGAATACCCTAATATTTATATGTCATATATGATACATTAGCACGATGAAAATCGAAGCAAAACATGAAAATATTGCATGTTTTCTTATGTCACGATATGAAAGCACAAATTAGCAAAGCCACGTCCACAATAACATCCAGATAGCAATACAACATAATGTAACTAATAAATTACAAAACCACCATTCACATTTCAGTATTTCACCAAGAATCCACGTATAATAAAGGAACCACATTATTACCAAGAATCCATTGCAACACTTAATGTAAAAAGTAGAAAGAAATTTCATCTAGATCACTGTTCCGAGATTTGCATTCTAGTTTCACCAGCAGTAATTACATAACATAGACCCACCATATGTTACGCTACACCTGCATCACCTGAAAAGCCATTGGAATCTACTTCCAAGCCAGGATCCAGTACTACCACTGCTTCCCTCCTTTCCAACTGCTGGACCACCATTATTGTCTTCCATACCAACATCCGCCGGTGATGTCGAAGCAGCACTCACTGTCGGACAACAGGTTTGAATAACTCTCCTTGCCATCTTGCGAGCAACATGCGACACTTCCTGGTCACATACATATTTACACAACAACAAAAAATCCTGATTAACATTGGGGCCAACAATAATTATCTCAAAACACCACAATTTGAAATCCTGATTATTAATTATCTTGCCTCATTCCCCTCATCGACACTAGCCAAAAGGGTCGTAATGGTCTCCAGAGGCACATTGTCCTCACTTTCTTGGATGACAAGCGTCATAATGGTCTCCATGGCAGAAACGACATTCTCTGGATGGTAGTCCCTGCAGAAACAGGAAGCAGATTCAGGGGAATGAACTTCGAATTCGCGCGCGCGCGATTTATTTCGATTCGAGGATCATATTACATCACCTGACAGTGTTGAAGAACTTGTGGAACATGTCTGTAATCAGTGCATCGCATTGCAAGTCCAGCATCAGCACACATGCCCTGACTCTGGCCATGCTCTCGAGCATGACAACCGTTTTGGAGTACGCTCGATTCGTTGTGTCGTCCAGGTTATCGAACGAAGACACTATCAGCTCCAGCACGCCTACCATCTGCTCGTCGTCATAGGGAACGTTTGGTGCAGTTATCCTCAGAATTTCACTGATGCACGCAGCCACTGCAACTCTGACATCCGCATCTGGATGCCTCAGGAGCTGGTCTGTGACCAGTGCATTTTGTGCTGTAGCCAGTGCCCTTTGCGTTGAATCTGTTGGTGACTGCTCCAACTTGGCCAGATAACTCTCCACTTGCTGCAACAATCCATTGATACAGGAAATAAACGTGTAATTAAGTGGTTCTAAACAACAGAGGAACTGAAAATTAAGGACATTCTTGGTAATTTTTAGTAATTGCTGCATATGGATTATAGAGTGACCGAGAGAGAGAGGGGAAGACTTACACCGAGCAGGGGAAGAAGTTCATCGACCGAAGAAGGAGGGTTAGCGAGCCTATTTCCAGCGTCCACAAGCTGTCGCTGGATCGCGGTGGAAGCCATGAGACCAAGCTTAGGGTTTTACTCTCCTTTTTTTTCAAAGAGAAGAAGATTGACGGTTCACTCTATCAGCGACTGTTCTTTTACCGCCTCTTTATACTCTGTTGCGTTGTCTAGTTTCAGTCATGGATTCGGAATTGTAGCACTAGCAGAGCACGGGCTTTCTGTTGAGCAGAGCCCGCATTAACTTTCTGGGCTTTGGATGGAAAGTGATTAATTTACACTAGCTTTGTACCCGGTCCGTTGGCCGGGTAAATTTTGATTGAAATATGTTTTATGAAATATTTTTTCTCCTATATTGTCTATTTTGTTCAGGCTAACATTGTCGTCTCTCATCCCGAATCATGTGTACCTTTGAGCTTGATCAGTTGGCCGGAAGTGATTTTTCTTTAAGGTAATTTAGTTTGTACCACACGACAATATTTTAACACCCAATGCAGTCAAAAGCGCGATTCTACCTAGAAGCGGAAAAGGGGTAAAATCATAAAGCGTAGAATCAAAGCGTAAAAGCGTAAGTTTTTGAAGCATACTGAAAAATAACTAAAAAGCTAGGACATATACTATGTAAAATATGAATGCACGGAATTTAGATAAGTTAATAAATACATGCAATTCATGCCTCAAGTAGAGCAACTTGTAGCATCTTAATAATAAGTTTGTAAACATAAATTTTAACAATAAGCCACTTCTTCCTCTATGCTAATGCATTCGGGAAGAGCCTAGCTGGTGAATTAGATTACTCTATTAAAGTTGAGAATGCATCCAAGTACATGATATGTATCTTTTAATCTCAAATATATCATATTGTTGGTGATTTACTTTTAAAATATACTTTTTATAATTAATTTCATGAAAAGAATACTCATTTAGTGAACTAAAAGCGTAAAAACGTAAAGCGTTTTGGTGAACTAGAAGCATAAAAGCGTAAACTTTTAAGCTTTAAAGAGCAATTTAGTCCGATTTTATACACTTAAGTTTTTATATGGAAACGAAAGCGTTTTGGTGACCTAAAAGCGTAAAATCGTAAGTTTTTAAGTTTTAAAACGCGATTTTGACTGCATTGTTAACACCCATGAAATTGTTGTGCAGTATTATTATGATAGTACAAAATTAAACATTGATAGAATTTAGTAACTCATTAGAATAAGAAATTTGTTTTGTGATCTATGGTAGTATATACTTTATGACGGTAGAATCGAATGATATTGATATAGTTTAGCAACTATCGAATATGAGAGTGACTTGTGAATATATGATTGTGATAATGTTTTTGAAATAAAAAAAAAATTCAACTTATATCAAATGGGTATCATTGAGTAGATCACATAAAATCTGATTTTTTTGCGCAACAATATTTAAATTCGGAGTTGAAGCGGAAAAAATATGGATCGAATAAGAATAGTATGGTGATTGAAAAATAAGAGAGAGAGAGTGTGTATTAAGTGGCACAATCTAATTAGAGTACAGAATAACTACAAAGAAAAATTAGGGTAAATACAATTTAATATCCAAACCTTTCATTTTAAACAATATAATAGCCAAACCTTTTTGAAAACAATCTAATATCCAAATCGGCAACTTTCCGTTCCTTTAACCGTTAGTTGACACTTCAAAAAGCTTTGTTTAGGGGAAATTGTCACAATACAACTTTGTTTTCTTGTTTTGGCATTGCAGATGACTGAATATTTTAGAGAAGATCTCGATGGATATTGATGAAGTGTCCTACTTCGAACTTTTTTGAAGTGTCAACTAACGGTCAAACAGACAGAAAGTTAACGATTTGGATATTATATTGTTTTCGAAAAGGTTTGGATATTATATTGTTTAAAATAAAAGGTTTGGATATTAAATTGTATTTACCCGAAAAATTTTAATGAAAAGAAAAAAAGAAGTTACGAAAACATCTGATTGGTGGAAAGGGAAGTTAAGAAAAAATCTTATTGGTGGAAAGGGTGCTGATATGGATGCGTAGGAGGGCTGGATTTTTGAAACGGTGAAGGTGATTATTGGAAAAGTCTTTATATATTTTATAGATAGATTTTTTACAGCTAAATGGATATAATTTTTTCTTTTTTTTTTTTGTCTTTTGAAAATTGAAAGGGACGCAACAATTTGAGAAAGTAGATTATGTATGGAATGTGATAGAAGTGATTTTGAATATTTTATAAATTAATTTGTTAACGTATACGGTATACGGTATACCATGTTTCTTGCATCATAAGTCATATAAAAGAAATTAAAGTGACAAAAGATTAAAGAAAAAAATTCAAAACTCGTTAAAATATGCATAAATGTCATCCGAGCCAATATAATTCACTATTTCTCATTAATTAATTTAATTCTCCTCTACGGTACCCAAGTTTATGAAACTATTCCTCTCATGATAGAACGGAGGTACCTTTCTTGCGTACCGATACTTGAAACCCCATAAATCAGCGGACGCAACGAACGGCGAGAAGTTACACAACTCTATTTTTCTTTTATGCATTTGTAGAGAGGAAAGAAATTTAATGAAGAAGAAAACACTCTATCTTTCTTTTGGCCGAAAAAACGTATTGGGAAAACTCGCGTATGAAAATAGAGGGTGTTGGTGTTATTTATAGAAAATGAAGGGATGTGACCCTTCGGGAGGGTGGTTACACCTAGGGCTGCAAATGAGCCAAGCTCGCGAGAAACTCGGCGTTCGAATCGGAAAAAACTCATTCGACACTCGACCCGTTGTTTAACAAGCCAGCTCGCGAGACGGCTCGTTAGTAAACGAGCCAAGCTTGAGCTAGGTCATGCTCGGCTTGATAAGCTCGTGAGCTAGCTTGACTCGGTGGCTTGTTGAGCTAAGCTCGTGAGCTGGCTTGTTTAAAGCATAGTCCATTACACCGTACCGTACCGGCGGTTCAACCACAAAATACCAGTATCGGAAGCTAAACCGATAGGCGGTATTAATGGTTGAACTATGGTTCAACCACGGTTTTGCCATAAAATATCCTACCGCTGACTTTTCCGATACGGTCTCCGGTACGGTTTCATGGACCATGGTTTAAAGCTTGTGGAAGAATTAATTACTCTTCTGAACATGAAAATTATCTTTTTAATAAGGATGTGTATGGAAGTTAGATGTTATTTTTAGTTTCTAGTGTTCTTTTTATTATTTTTAATTTCTAATGTTCTTATTTGTACACATTTTTCAGCAAGAATGGTTTCAAATCGAGCTTATCTTGAGTCGAGCTTGTATTCAGCTTGACAAGCTGTGTTAATGAGCATTTACCGAGCTCTATCGAGCCGAGCTCGAGCTGGATTATTTTTAATCGAGTCGAGCTCGAGCTGGATAATCAAAATTCGAGTTCGAGCCGAGCTCGAGCTAAAAAATTTATAAACGAGCCGAGCTCAAGCTAAGCAAAAACTCGACTCGACTCGGCTCGTTTGCAACCCTAGTTACACCCAAACCAACACATTGGTTACTTTTAAAATTACGAACCATTACATCGGTTCGGCCTGTGATATTTAGACCGGTTGGTTCACTCCAACTACCACATTGGTTTGGTTCAAATCGATTTAGTCTAGTTGGTTACACAAACCAATTTGACCAATTAACAAAATATTTAATCAAATCAATTGACCGAATCCAAGGCCTCCTTCCCATATATAACCAATATGGTATTTCGCGAGCTTCTCTTGACTCCTTCCCCTTTCATTCCCATCCACACCATTGAAAATCCCAACAATCCCCCACGTGAATGGAGAATGCAAGTTTTAAAAACTATGCAAAAACCGTATGACTCTCAACTAAGATTTAGTTGCATCGCGATAGGTGGGTTTCCTTTTGAACCTTCCGTAGTGAACATATATATAGTATATTCACCAATCGGTAGATATGATATCTTTGAACGGTCGATTTTTCTTGTATACTAAGACAACATATATCACAGAACAAACTCTTATCCGTTCATTGGTTCTCATGGTTGTATTCGTTTTAGTCATGAACACCACTTGGTTTCATGAGTGCTTAGATAACTAGCCTTCTTTTTTCATTCTTCTTAAAGAGGCTCTACTTCACACTCGCATATGTGATTTATAAACGTGTATTCCGAAAACACACTATTTGATCACACCACGTGTCAAGCTGAGAAACCATTAAAAATTTGTCATCTTTAGGTTTACACTGAGCAAGGTTGAAATAGCTGTGCTCTGTTATCTTTTGACTCAAGATACGAAACGATTTCTTGAAATCAATATGCAAATGCAGTCTTCGAGCTTTTTACCTACGCTAGTTGCAGTCCTTGAATAACACATCTCTGCTCTCATTACTATAAAAAATCCCTAAATTAAAGACAAACGTTGTCAGACAACGTCCCAAGTGATCTCTTATCAATCCACATATCGCCGCTTTTGAATTTCGGCTGCTTCACTGATACATTTCAATCATCCAAATAACCCATTTCATATATTCCCAGCGGTTGGTTTTTCTGTACTGGAGGCTCTGGAAGTCCAGGTGTTTGGCTACTTACGATGGTATTCAGTATTTCTCCCATGTTTTATCACGTCATTATTACTCTCAGGTTGCTGAATGGGAGGTAGCACAGGCGCATCCGGTGAGATCCTTGCCTCGCGGTCCATCTGCTTCCAGTGGGGTTTTACCTCGTGATCAACCCCCTCCTTCCATTCCTCCCGGTGCAGTGTTGGTACACTTTGATGGTGCCACCAAATCTTTGGTCGGATGTGCCATTGGTTTTGTTGGCTTTGATGAGGCGAATCACTCCATTTTCTCTTGGGGGCGCTTTATTCCTAATATTGATGACCCATTTCTCGCAGAGCTCCTGGCCCTTCGCGACTCTTTACGTTGGTGCGTGGCTCACTCTTTCACTAATGTTTTGTTTTGTGGGGATGCGCAGGTGATCGTTCGGCTGATTAATGCGAAGGACTCGGCGCACGCGGTGGGTGGAGCTCTCCTGCAAGAGATTCAGGTGTTGCGGGCTTCGTTCCTTCGTGCTGCGTTCCATTTCGCTCCCCGTAGGTATAATAGGGCTGCCCATCTCGTGGCAAGACAAGCCCTTGGAGCGATGGTGCAGACACTTGTCGATCATCGTGTTTTATCTATTTAATTTCCTAGCCTGGTCTTAGGAGGCCTTGTATATTGTCGTATCTTCGCTGCTTCCCTTTCGGGATAACTTTGGCAAAAGAAAAAAAAAGTATCCCATATATGTCTCGAGCAAGTGAAGGAAGAACATATTATTGCCATTGTAAATTTTTTTCAGATTGCTTTCATAGCTCAGTTGGTTAGAGCACCCGTTTAGTAAGCGGGAGGTCTTGAGTTCAACTCTCAATGAAAGCATTTATTATTTTTAAATTTTTTCTCCTTCGCGCTACGACGTCGTATGTAGAAGGGCCCGGAAAAGAAGAATCTCCCCAATTGTTCTACAGCATTCTCCTTGCCTCTTCCTCAAGCTTCCCGAAAAACCTTTTTCCTCGCCTGTAATCCCAGTTCCTAATGAAAAACCAGAACCAACCCATCCGATTCTGAACTGAAGTCACCATTCTCCTTCCTCGTTGTTGATCAATAGCGGAATGGCCGCCTCCAGGAGACTCACCAAATCGGCTCTGGCAGCCATTAGAGCATCTTCCAGAGCTCCCAGACTCTACTATCACTCTTCTTCTTACTCTCGCTCGCCCCTCTCCCGAATTCGCCCCGTCTCCTCCGCTGCGTGTCTGCTCGGTAATCCCAGCGCCGCCTTGTTCCTGACTCGGCTGTTTCCCGAGAATGGCGTCATGCTTCGCTCCTCCATGCACTTGTCCGCTCGCGGTATTCACTCTTCGCCTCCTCGCTTCTCCGCCGGAGCTAGTTCTTCGCAGGTCTGTTGTACTGAAATTTTGATGGATATGGATTCGTTGCGATCAGTTCGAGTTCTTATTTGTTTTACCCTACTTGGTGGTGGTGTTCATTGTATCTATCTGTAAGTTAATGTCTCTAGAGTCTAGAGACCAGGCGAAAACCTCTAGAGTCAGAAATCCGGCAATATCACTGATCCTTGTGTATGTCCTTTTTGTTGTATGAATACATTAGATTGGGCGGTAATTTGTATTGTATCCCCATATTTGCAATCTCTTGAATTGTAAATATCGGCATGCTTTGAGATGTTGTCGGTATTCTTTCTATCATGCATGTTTTGATGTATCTTTTCATGTGTTTCTGAATGGGGATCAGGTTAATCAGACTGAGTTCACCGAGATGGCATGGGAGGGAATTATCGCTGCTGTTGATGCAGCGCGAAGTAGCCAGCAACAAGTGGTGGAAACTGAGCATTTGATGAAAGCCCTATTGGAGCAAAGGGATGGGTTAGCTAGGAGAATATTCACCAAGGCTGGGCTTGACAACTCATCAGTTCTGCAAGCTACCAATGACTTCATAGCTCATCAACCAAAGGTTTGGACTGCATCCTATTCCATGAAAATCTTCAACCCTTAAAGTTTCTTGTGTGTTATGTAGATAGATTCATGTGCAAGTATATAGGTGGTGATTTTTAAATCTCATATTTTTCTTGTTTTAGGTAATGGGTGATACAAGTGGCCCTGTAGTGGGCCAGAATCTTGCTTCACTGCTCGAACTTGCTCGGAAAAACAAGAAAGATATGGGGGATGACTTTGTATCGGTGGAGCATTTTGTTTTATCGTTTCCTTCGGACAAACGTTTTGGGCAACAATTGTTCCGGAATCTTCAGCTCAGTGAGAAGGACTTGAAGGATGCCATTCAAGCTGTTCGAGGGAATCAGAGAGTAACGGATCAAAGTAAGAGCTGAAATCTTATCATTTTTATATGCAAAATTGGGTATTTCTTGGGGGTCATTAAGACAGATTTGAGTTGCCAACAAATGTTACTCATAAATGTCTTCTGGTCGAGTCGAGAAGGAATCTTTCCCAGGAGTCCAGAATTTCCAGCTTCGTGTAATTGTTGTTTAAACTTGAGCTGCTAATGTTTTGTTAGCTTCTGTCTATTCAACAAGTTGTTCTTATGCTATTAACAGACCCTGAAGGGAAGTACGAGGCACTGGAAAAGTATGGGAATGATCTGACTGAACTTGCTAGGCGCGGGAAGCTTGATCCTGTTATCGGTCGAGATGATGAAATTCGAAGATGCATTCAGATTTTATCGAGGAGAACAAAGAACAATCCTGTCATTATTGGTGAACCTGGTGTGGGAAAAACTGCAATTGCTGAAGGGTATGTTCTTATCCTAGGAATTCCAGTCTCATCGTCTGTTGAACATCAACGTGAGTTGCATTTGGCACATCTCACTTCTATTGCTTTGAATGATTTATTGTTCATGCTATCTTTGGATGCATCCTTCTGAACTGATTTGCATGTGCAAACTGCTTATGTATGTAGTTTTGACTTTATACTTGTTATTCAAGTTGCTGCAGTTTTACTGCCAGTATAGTTTTTACCCCAGTTTAATCATCATTCTCATTTCTAACACGAGGTTAAGCTAAGAGAAGGCTTCTTAATTCTTTAGATCAGGCTCGCATAAATACTTAGGAATGTACCTTTTTCCTCTTCTCGTGAAGTCTTAGGCCGCATTGGTTTGACTGCGATAATATTTACTAGAACCAGTTTTACATGTCTTAGATAGGTTGCTTGTTACCGTACCGTTTTTCATTTTTATGTACAAATTCTGACCTCTGAACAAACTTTGTATATTCTTTTTCAGTCTGGCCCAAAGGATAGTGCGCGGCGATGTGCCTGAACCACTAATGAACAGGAAGGTAACACTCTATTGTCTTCATTCTTCAAACATCTGTAATCTTTTGCTGGAGCAAACTGACGTATATGCTTGTAGTGATTATTTTCTGTCTCTGTAGCTTTAGCTTCTTCCCTCATTGTTAGTATGGTGATTTTCATAAGAATGGTACAATGTGAAAAACAAGAGATCTATAATTTTGTGGACATAATTGTATTTGTTCAGTTAGAATTCCCCTTTTAAATGGATCTGAGTATTTCGATTTATATGTGGGATCTGCAGCTAATATCATTGGATATGGGTTCACTGGTAGCCGGTGCCAAGTTTAGAGGAGATTTTGAAGAAAGGTTGAAAGCTGTTCTGAAGGAAGTTACTTCGTCAAATGGACAGATCATTCTATTCATTGATGAGATCCATACCGTGGTTGGTGCTGGTGAGTTAGTTCCCTTCTGCTTGTTCATTTCGACTGTTGGAGTTGTTGCATAGACCATCTCCCTGAAAATTAGTGGAATCAAGTGGAATTATTGAAAGTTGTCTTTCAGTTCCAAATTATGATAAGGATGTTAGTGCATGCCACAGCTGATCCATTTCTTAATGATCTTGAAATAGGCGCTACCTCTGGAGCCATGGATGCTGGAAACTTATTGAAGCCGATGCTCGGACGAGGCGAGCTCAGATGTATAGGAGCAACTACATTGAATGAGTACAGGAAGTACATTGAGAAGGATCCTGCACTGGAACGTAGATTTCAGCAGGTATTTTGTCCTCAGCCGTCCGTTGAAGATGCAATATCAATTCTACGTGGGTTGCGTGAGCGCTATGAGCTGCACCACGGCGTGAAGATTTCAGATAGTGCACTTGTGTCAGCTGCAGTTCTAGCTGACAGATATATTACCGAGCGTTTTCTGCCAGACAAAGGTGAGTATAGTACTTTTCCTCACCTGAATATTGAAAAAGTGGTCAGTAGTTTCAACCTAACTCGTGATCAAGATCTTGGCTCTACGTATTACAAATCGTACCGCTAATGCTATGTGATGCCATAGGAGAACTGTAATTTAGGTAGCCTATAAGTCGTTGCCTCCGGACCTAAAGAGAACTCCTAGCGAGGAGGAAAAAGAGACTTCTTGCACTTGCTTGCCATATACTATTTATCCTTAGCCAATGCAAACATGATTTACAATTAGTGTAAATGTTATAGGATAATGCTGCTTCAGAGTAAATGGAATACACTATTAGGAGTAAATTATTGTTGCTCTATTTACTGATTATAATTAACTGCTCTAGTGTAATATTACCTGAAGCAGCTAAGTTTTTGTTACTTCTCTGACTTTATCTTTCTGAACAGCGATCGACCTTGTTGACGAGGCAGCTGCAAAGCTGAAAATGGAGATAACTTCTAAGCCTACAGAGTTGGATGAGGTGGACCGAGCTGTGCTGAAGCTGGAGATGGAGAAGCTATCTGTTAGAAACGACACTGATAAGGCATCCAAAGAAAGGCTAAACAAGCTCGAGAATGATCTCAAAACACTGAAACAAAAGCAGAAAGAACTTAATGAACAATGGGACAGTGAGAAAGCTCTCATGAACAAAATTCGGTCAGTCAAAGAAGAGGTTAGTCTTCTTTTTCCTTTTTCTGTTACTTATAATTGCACTGCTTTATATTTTATGGCTTATATTTTGTTTGCTTGTCCAACATACCATTAGATTGATAGGGTCAACCTGGAAATGGAAGCTGCTGAACGTGACTACGACCTGAATCGCGCCGCAGAGCTCAAGTACGGAACTTTGATATCCCTTCAACGTCAGCTTGAGGAAGCTGAGAAAAACCTGGCCGACTTCAGGAAGTCTGGAAGCTCTCTGCTTCGTGAAGAGGTTACCGATATTGATATTGCGGAGATTGTAAGCAAATGGACTGGAATACCCTTATCAAACCTCCAACAATCCGAAAGAGAGAAGTTGGTCTTCCTAGAAGAGGTACTTCACAAGAGGGTGATCGGTCAGGACATGGCGGTGAAATCAGTAGCTGATGCAATAAGACGATCTAGGGCCGGTTTATCGGATCCAAATCGGCCCATCGCCAGCTTCATGTTCATGGGACCTACTGGGGTTGGCAAAACCGAGCTTGCGAAAGCCCTTGCCGGCTACCTCTTCAACACAGAGAATGCACTCGTGAGAATCGATATGTCTGAGTACATGGAGAAGCATGCTGTGTCACGATTGGTCGGGGCGCCACCTGGTTATGTCGGTTATGAAGAGGGCGGCCAGCTTACCGAAGTTGTTCGTCGGAGGCCATATTCAGTGGTGCTCTTCGACGAAATCGAGAAGGCTCACCATGATGTGTTCAACATCTTGTTGCAGTTGTTGGATGACGGAAGGATAACCGATTCTCAAGGAAGGACAGTTAGTTTCACCAACTGCGTCGTGATCATGACTTCGAACCTTGGTTCTCACTTAATACTCGACACTCTTCGCAATACAAGAGATGGCAAGGATGTGATCTATGATATCATGAAGCAGCAAGTCGTGGAGCTCGCGAGGCAGACCTTCCGTCCGGAGTTTATGAACAGGATAGATGAGTATATCGTCTTCCAACCTCTAGACTCTACAGAGATCAGTAAAATCGTCGAGATACAGGTAAAACCCCGATACTTGCCGTGCCTGTTCGTTTCAGTTTCCAAGTCTAAAACAAACAATATATATACTCCATAGAATCCATTTATGCAATAGTCTCACACAAGAGTTGCTAAGCTAAAGCATGTTGAATTTGTTCATGTGTTATGTGTAGCTGAACCGGGTGAGAGATAGGTTGAAGCAGAGGAAGATCGAAGTTCAGTACACGAAGGAAGCTGTCGATCTCTTGGCGACATTGGGATTCGATCCCAACTTTGGGGCGAGACCAGTTAAGCGGGTGATACAGCAGCTGGTCGAGAATGAAATTGCAATGGGGGTATTGAGAGGGGACTTCAAAGAGGAAGATGCTGTCATTGTCGACTCGGATCCTTCTTCCGATCTCCCGCCGCAGAAGAAGCTGATTGTAAGGAAAGTGGAGAGCAGCCCGCAAATGGAAGTCCTGGTAGCCAATGACTAGTTTAGTTATGTTCTCCCTGCTAGTGAATCTTGTATATTATCATAATCGCCATAAGTGTAAAAGACCCACTTCATCTTCTGGTTGTGGAAACAATTGTACGATAACGTTGTCGGAAAAATAAACTAGACATATTGATCGAACTCGATGAAGGAGAATCGTCACAGAAGCCAAACAAGTGAAATCATAAACTCTCTTGCTTTCGTATCAATTGGAGCATCACAAAGCAACGTTTCAACTTTCAGGTCGCCCTCTAAATACAAGGGCATGAATAATGAACATGCTCTCCTAGAGGTCGTTTAGAAACGACTCATTACGTTAAATCTCATTATAGTGATTCGTCCGGAAATCGAGACGCCCAAAACTGAACAATATAAGGAGAGTCGAAGGCAAGATAGACCTTGTCAGGGAGAGACAGAGGTTATTCTACTTTACTTCATGCAAGCTTGTCGGTTCGGATTCGATTTATATGTTTAAACTAAAATAGATTTGTTAGGAATACTTTTGGTTTTGGATTTGTGGTTTCAAACTGGCTGGTCAGGGAGAGACGGAGGTCATTCTACTCTGCTTCATGCTAGCATGTCGATTTGGGTTTGGATTCTTGGTTTAAACCAAAACTTACTCGTTAAGAACACTTTTGGTTTCGGGTTTGCGGTTTCAAACCAACTGCACATTAGCTGTTTCAGTTTTGATTCAACCCAAGAAACCAATAGAACCCGAAACCCATTAGCCCCAAATAAATTGTGTTTGGTTTTCCTAAAACGATTTGATTTTGTTTCGGTTTATTCTAACCAAAATCGATAAGATTTTTGAATCAATTTTTGAAGGCTAACATTTCCGGTTTTCAAATTCATGGGTTTCGATTCGGTTACCCAAACCCGAATGGAATTAGCACCCCTAGCCCTAGCTAAGCTTCATCTCATAAGCACATTGTAGGATATTATTATTGGTGGTGGTGGTAGCTGCTGCACATTAATATATGTCCCGTTTGAAGCACTATTTCTTATGGTACTACCCTCTGCACCAAGCCAAACAGCAGACCCTTGATTAGCAGCACTGTTCTCTTATTTTAGTAATTAATTATGTCTTATGCTATCGCCTGCCCTCGTCCTTTTCAATGTCACTGACCTACTACGTCTTGAAGAATGAAGATTGAAGCAGAAGAAGAAGAACAAGCGCCCCCTTATATAAATAATAACGAAATAAAAAAAACTTTGCTCTTCCCCAACACTCCTTTCCCTTTCCGCTTCTCCCCACTCTCTCCCTCTCTCTCTTCCTCAGCACTCCTTCCCCGGCAGCAAAAAGCTTCGACGCAGACCTCCGGACAAAATCACCAAACTGTCCAGTCTCATCTTTCTCCGTTCGTCGCTGATTCCCCTGCTTCTTCGCGGGTTTTGGCTTTCATCGAGAATGGCCAAGTGTCACCACCACAACGTCGGATCTCTAGTCCTGGATCACTCCCCGACTTCCTCCGCCGCCGCCTCGGGGACTGGTAATTTCCGTCTCTGGACTGCCTTCTCCGCCGCTTCATTTCGCCGTAAAATCTTCGACGCCGTCAGCTGCGGAGGAAGCTCCCGATACGGTCACCACGATCTTGATGATGTCGCCGACGACATTTCCTCCACCGACACCGCCGTCTCAGCGAAGTCCGCCTTGGCGCCGTCGCCGGCGTTGGCGGCGTCGAGCGAGGGTGCAACTAGTGCTAGTAGCGAACAGAGGTGCGGGAAATCAGCTGTGAGGAGTGTGAAATCGGAGAGGCTGTCAGATCTCTTGAGCATTGCGGAGGTGGAGAGCGAGGCGGAGACGAAGAAGAAAGTCGAAGCGTTGGAGGAGCTGAAGCGAGCGGTGAAGGAATTGCAGTTGGAAGACGAAGAGGAGAAGAGGAAAGAAGCTGCTCGCCAGGTGAGGTTACTGGCGAAAGAAGATTCTGGAGCTAGAGTCACTTTGGCTATGTTAGGTGCGATTCCTCCTCTAGTCGGCATGCTCGATTTCGAAGACGCCGATTCTCATATCGCCTCCCTCTATTCCTTGCTCAATCTCGGCATCGGGAACGACGCGTAAGTATCCTCGCCACTTTCTCCTTTCCTTTTCCTTTTCGCGCATTTTATGTCTGCCATTTTTCAATTGAGTGCTTGATCGATCGTAAGCACAGCAAATCTGCAAGTTATGGATTCCGCTAGACCAGCAGTCATTTTCTGCAAGTGGATTAAGACTCCGAGATGATAATTTGGGATAAATGTTCGCTTCAATTATACGTTTGTTTGATTTATCCCCGTCTGTTACAGTTCCAGATCGAGGACATCTCGTCTGGTCATTTTCTTGCATTTGTTGGTTTCTCTGCTTTCTTTATTTGCCGCTACAGTATATTTCTTGAATCCTGACCTTTGGTTCACCGGTCATTTTCCATGTTATAATTAACAGCAGAGGACTGGATTTCTTGGATTGAAAAGGATCTATGGGGTTTGCGTTTCTTTGGCATTTAATTGTTTTCTTTGAATAACCGGCATAGGCGTTTCTTTTGGTATTTAGTGCAACTTTTCTGCTTAAACATCCTGGTGATTGGCTGGAAACTGACTTCAAGGGGGGGAATCGTTTTGACAAACTTTTCTTTTGCAGGAACAAAGCTGCCATTGTCAAAGCAGGGGCTGTCCACAAGATGCTAACGATTATATCATCTCCCAACGCTCCAAACCCATCAGTATCGGAGGCAATAGTAGCTAATTTCCTCGGATTGAGCGCACTGGACTCGAACAAACCGATCATCGGTGCTTCAGGTGCAATCCCATTCTTGTTAGGTACTTTAAAGGATTCAGATCACAAGACCAGCCCTCAAGCGAAACAAGATGCTCTCAGGGCTCTTTACAACCTCTCGATCGACCCATCGAATGTCACGTTTATTCTAGAAACGGATATGGTCCAGTATCTCCTCAATGTAGTGGGGGACATGGAAGTAAGTGAAAGGATCCTTTCAATTTTGAGCAATGTAGTATCAACCCCTGAAGGCAGAAAGGAAATCAGCAGCGCAAAGGACGCATTCCCGATTCTGGTCGACGTGTTGAACTGGACTGATTCGCCCGGTTGCCAAGAGAAGGCCTCTTACATTTTGATGGTGATGGCTCATAAAGCATATGGAGATCGACAGGCAATGATCGAGGCAGGGGTCGTGTTCTCCCTGCTTGAATTGACGCTTCTGGGGAGCGCTTTGGCACAGAAGAGGGCTTCGAGGATACTCGAGTGCCTCAGAATAGATAAAGGGAAGCAAGTTTCCGAGCATTATGGAGGCAATATGGGGCCGGCAGTTTCTGCTCCTATATGTGGCACGTCGTCATCTTCTGCTCAGGTCGACGACAATACCAACGAGTGCCTGCTGGAGGTGGAAGGCATGATGAGCGAGGAGAAGAAGGCAGTGAAGCAATTGGTGCAACAGAGTCTGCAGAACAACATGAGGAGGATTGCCAAGAGGGCCAATTTGCCTCAGGATTTCGCGCCCTCGGAGCACTTCAAGGCACTCACAGCAAGTTCAACCTCCAAGAGTTTACCTTTTTGATGCCGCAGCAGCAACATGAAGTTAGTATTCTTCTTACACCCTTGCTGCGCTTACATTTATTACTAGCATGCAATCCAGTTTTAATCTTCCATTAGTGAAGTCATTTTTTAGTAAAGATTCTTTCTCCACCGAATCTGGTAAACACTATGAAACAAGCATAGGAACACCAGCTAGAACCAAAGGACCCAAATCTGGAGCATTCCCTATAAACCAATATGTCAATTTTCAACATAGTACGTTTTGGCCTGCCTCTCTTTTGTCCCATTCTCTGATTCCTACTAAAGGGAAGGTAAAAAAAAAATGGAAACGAGCTGAAAACTACCCTTGCATTGGAAAGAAACAGGGACCATGCATCGCCAGCTTTCTCATCTGGAGATAAAAATATAAAGCCCTTCCAATTATGTCGCCTTTTTCTCCCCCCCTTTGTTGCTTGGACCTACAATTACATCTACCTGCTTTCCCCGGCCCTTTTTTCACTCTGCTTTTTTGGCTACTCCCCCGAAACTAGATCGTGTTTGTGGGCAAATGACAATGCCCTCACTTCGTCTTCTCTTTTTTATTTAATCGGCACACCATAATATCAGGGATGCTTATGAGATGATGCATTACATGTGCACTAGCAGTGACCTTGGTTTGCTGATCCATTTATGCATTCTTCTTCTCTCCCTTTTGTTTATTCACTTACAGATCACGATAGACAGATCCGTGGAGGCTCTACTAAAAGAGGAGTGAGAGAAGGAGCGTGGGGAGGAAATGGCACATGAGCTTGCTTTCCAGAATTGCTTCGCAGAGCAGAGCACTCACTATTTTCTTCTCACCCCACCAAAACCACCACGACGATGCACATAATTTAGGTGACGAAAATTTCTAATATCTTTTTTTTATTTTTTATTTTAGGTGACTATATAGTAATATCTACATGTTAGTGGTTAGCAGTAGTCATATTAGTGGTAGTGGTACGGTATGGTCCTTCTTTTATGTTTGCCCGCTGTAATGGTTCTGGTCTCCCCCTACTCCCTCCATGTTCTTTGTCGTGCAGCCTGTTCTTTACTGTTTTGTCCACCCTGTAAATATTCTGCCTCCCTCCTTAAACAATTTTCCATGGATCTGATCTAAACCCCGATTTTGTTGGAAGGGTTGAATAATTCTTCTTAGTTAATGGATAACTCACTGTAATCCACTAGTTTACTGAGGGGGACAGCTATGGAAGTGATTTCTTCACTCTCAGTACAGCGGTCCATTATTATAACCGATTGATCCAGCCTGTTGGTTTGCCGGTGGTTACCTGGAAACATTTGTGCTACAGTGCTGCTGACGTTGTTGGGTCCCAGTCAACGACTGGGAACTTGGGTGGGACGGAGCTAGTGACCCGATAGCCTCACTAGTACAGTAGTACTGTAGCCGAATTCAGCTGCTAATGAAATGTAGTGCTAAACTACGTACCATTTCTAGGTTTTAATTCTATGGGGAGCAGAGCAGGTAACTCCAGCAACGTATTGGTGTGTGTATTAAATGGTCATGATGGCAAACACCAAAGGATGATGCCATGGCAGGTTGATGGAGGTGTCTACCAATTGCAATCATTACTGCGTGCTGAAATCATCGATGGATGCAAATCAAAGTGATGAGTTATGAGCTTAGGTCTGCATTCAA